GTTGGAATTTCTGTGACGGACTGGTTAAGGCAACGGCTGCAATTTTGCTTGTCCATGTCTGGAGTGCACTGAGCAAGTGCGTATATTGTTTCACCTCCAGGGACAGTTGCATGCCCTGCTGCAAATTTTTTAAGAGAATTCCCTGACGCAGCTCTGTCACTTAAAATACCCAACAAGGGGGTAAGCACCAGCTCAAACTGTTGAGGATTTTTAGCGGAGTTTGGGCTAGGCAAATGCTTAAAAGGGTCCGTTTGTTCAATACCAAATATCAAGTTGTATGAGTATCTCACCATACAACGCTCTGCCCATATGATTGCTTCCTTTTGAGTTGAACAATTTTGCAAGAGTATATAAGTAGATGTGTTGAGACAAGTCTGACAAGAGTCCTGTGAGAGATCTCCTCTGCATAATGCAATTGCATTGATCTTGTTGGAGTCTTGTCCCCTGGATGAATTGTAAAACCCGTCGTAATTGTTTTGGGTGCTGGAGGAGAAGGAAGAGAGGAGGCTGTTGAGGTTCTCTTGGTACTCGTCACCTGCTGTGTAGGTGCCAGTATCAGAGCATTTCCAGCAGTACTCACCTTTTTCTGTGCACGTACCATCATCTTGGGCTATGGTGGGAGCGACAAGGTGTAAGATAATAATAGCAAGATTAATGAAGAAAAGCATTGATCTTGAGGAACCCATTTTTCTTGCTCAACTCACAACAAGCAACAACCACTTCGTCTTAAAGGAAAGACAAGATGGTTTCTTGACTTAAAAATATACAAGGTCTAGATGGCTTCCCGACCCTTAATTAGACCTCAAGTCATCTCTTTGAATTTTCTTCTGACATTAGCCAGATCACATGTTTTCTTCACTCTTTATCGTTGGATTGGAAGACTATGATGCGGGCCAACCAGAAAGCACAAGGCAATTGCGAGGTATATTCGTCAGACAGACACGTCAGTCCACCGATGAAAATGTGATGCAAAAATTTATTTTAATTTTAATATTTTAATATGGGCCTAAATCCATTAGACCAACCCAAATTAATCCGAAATTTATTGGTTTGTGTTGGGTTGATTGGATTTGGGTTTTGTTGAAAACTTGTTTCCAGTCCGGATTAGTTTGGCATTTGATAAATTGATACAAAACAAATTAGTTTAATTTGGCCTCTCAAATAAACGACAATTGGTTTTACTTTATCTATATATATAAAGCAAAATGCAGAGAATGGTGAAACATTCACAATACCAGAAAATGCCGTTTGTTAATTTAAATATTAAAAATTAAAATTATTAATTAAATAAGGATAATATGGTAAATTCATTTTTTTTTATATTAAAAAAATTAAAATTAAAAACAAAATCAGATAATATGTCCTACTTTTATGGAACATAACTACCTATATTATTTTTTTCTTAATTCTAAAATTAAAAAAAAATTTAAAAAAAAAAACCAATTGGCACACGCGTAAGGGGCTAGTGTACAGAAAATATTTAACTTGAGCTGCAGTTGTGATTAACGGAAAGTACATGTGTTTATGGGTTGGTAGTATTTTTCAAAGCTCAGTCAATTTTTAGAGATATAGGAATATTGGAAATCAAGAAATTATGTGGCTAAATTTTGGGCATCGACTGGTAATCTAATCCTGCGACTATCTTGGGCCAACTTAGCATTAGGTGTCGCTGGAATAGGATTGAAAGGACGCGTGTTGGTCTCTTCTTTCCCCATGTGTGGGTTGGTGTTTCCAAAGAGAGAAAAAGAGAGAGAGAGAGCCCAGCCTTCTTCCTCCTTCAAACTTCTTTCTACCATAACTTCCATTCTACAACTCCAATTCTTGCGCCGTTTTCTCCATTAGGATCGTAGGAACGAGCTCTACAGGTT